GGCAGCCAGCTCCTTAATGCTTATTACAGACAAATGTCAGAGCTGATTCATCCCGACTCACTGTGCGAATCTTTGGTGCTCAGGCAACTGTGTGAATTTTAGTGCTTAAGTCTCTAAATGAAACGCGAACAGAACAGCTTTCAAATGCAACAAAACAACTCAAAAGCAAACCGAAAACAGCTTTCAAATGTAACAAAACAAACACATTTTATGCATACTGTGTTTGCTTTTTTATTCAGTAAGAAATGCCTGACTAACTCAGAAAGACAGCAACAATGTTTAAAATTGATATGCACCCTCCAAGCATTTAATGTGATACACATTTCATAAAATCGTGTTAGGATTTATGCAGCGTTATCTATTTTTGTTCAATGCAAACAGTGAAAGCATGTTGAAACACTCTGTATAAGCACTATCTTGAAGATAATCTAAAAACAAAGCTACACTAACAAAGTCTTGTTCAGCTGAGGATGCACTTCTGACCAATGTGAAATTATTTAAAATAGACCAAGATGAAGATGAAAGCCTGTAGATGCAACTGGAATTGAACAATAAACATGCAGTTTTCTTCATCTAATACAACAAGAGAGTCCCTGGCTTTGAAAGTCCTCTCTGAATGTTGCTAAGGAAGATTTTTCCACCTTTCAGATATGCATGTGTACAAATGCTTCACATTTCTTTCTGTTTCTGTTCTTGTTTGCTCTCTGAATGCTATTTCTTTAACTTTTTTTCTGAAAGTTATAGAAATAGTATTTTGTAAATCAATAAGTCCAAATTTGGGGTGTTAATATGCATGTTTATCTTTTGGTTAAAGTCCAGTAATGAACTTTCTGTTTTTGGTTTACTTAGTTTCTTGTCCTCTATCAGCTATTGAAGGCTGAAACCCTGGTACTTTTTAGCATAGTTCATCAGCGGTTCATTTCTTATTACCTTCAATGCATTAGATTGCAAATAACTTATACCAAATAACTTAAACCAAGCCTATCAATCATTTCTATAGTTCAGACCACTGAGAAATGCCCACTTCCCATTGACTGTGCAAATTAGCAATAGAAAACAAATTTGGTTCGTAACACTGAGATAACTGTTTTTTACCGTCCCATCCCCTTTTAAGGAAGTTTTGTTGTTAAAAGAAACTGGATTCACAATTATTTCGAGACCAATTATAAAACCAAGGTAACTGAGTTTCTTTATTTATTCCTCTTTTTTAAGTTGTTCTGAGTTTCTAGAAATGCTTAATTAACAGACCCTGACCTACTCTCTCCCAGTGGTATAAATATAACGTGACACAGAGGCCCGTTTCTCATAGCCACAGGCATTGAGGCTATACAAGGACTCGGGATTTTGCTGCACACCACACTCACTCAGTGGGGAGATTAAGATTGAGATAAAACAATTTCCTAAGCTCATAGTTAGACATCAGCACTGCTGACATTTTTTTTCTAAATACCTCTAAAACAACCAGTGAACCGCAACAAAGGGAAATGAACATACACACACTTAGTCCTTACAGACAGTAATTACATAAAATGTTTATATTTTCTTTCACTGGTTTCCAAATAACTTAAAAATTCAAAAAAATAAAATGGGGCATGGCTTTAAAAACAATCAATAAAACTTTAAAACCAATTTTAAATGGACAGGAAGCCAATGGAAACAGGATCAAACAAATGTTCTCACGTCTGGAGGTGTTGGTTTAAAAGACTGTCAGTTGCGTTGTGGAGACGTTGAAGTCGTACCAGGGAAGAATGAGGGACACCAATATATAGTCCATTACTGGAATCAACTCTACAGCTAATAAATGTGTGAATGGTCAAGTCAATTTAAAAAAGATTTAAGTTTGGTCAGTAGATGCAGATAGGAAAAGCTGGATTCAAACAGTCAATTTGTTTATTAAAGTTACTTGATTTTTTTCCATAAAATGTCAATATGTGACCAGAGAAGACAGGACATAAAACAGATATTAATATTATCTTAAAGCTCTTGATTTTTCTACATCTTAAGTTTTTGTACAGTTTTGACAGGGATTGCTAACAAAACCGGAGGGTGCAGTAGTTGAGCGTGTCTGATGAATCTGTTGCTTTTTTTTAAACAGAGAATTAATGTGCGTGCCACCTGATGCTAAATATTAACTTGAAATGCTTACTGTTTGTGGCTCTGGTATAACACTGAATGATGCGGTGCAAAAGAGAAAACCTTTGCTGGTATGCATGTTTCCTTGTGTTTCTGTTGGACGTACAGGCAAAGAAAGAATGAAATGAAGAAAGGAAGAAAGAAACCAAACCACAGAGACAGATATCCACCGCCTCTTTGCCTCGTGCTGCTGAAATGAAGTCTGCAGTTATTATCATAATAATGTCTTGTTTCAAGTCGCCCTGAAATGCCTCTAGCACGCCTGCACCGATTAAGAAATCTTAATTAAGCTTTTGTAGATTCTCCTTCATCAGACCTTGCCTCGTTTTTTTTTTTTTTTTTTTTTACAAACACTCGTATTCTTTTCGTCAGACACTCTCACCTAAATGAATTAGGTGTTAGCAGAGAAAGTGAGAGAGGAAGAGAAAGCAAAGCCTGTGTTTTCAGCGCACACTTTCAAGTTTCCCGTGCTTCATCTCTCCCGAGGCATTTAAGTATTAGATATCCCTGCGCTGATCCGCTTGTTGTCACAGCAATTTCCCCAGTTGCTCATCATACTTAAAGTTCCTCTCTCATTTCCATTATAATTATCCAAGACAAAGCTCACCTGAGATTCACAACGAAAGACAATTTCATTTCACCTCTGGAGCAGCGCAGCATGACGCTTACTATGTAATGGATAAAACAGTTTGAGGTTGTTGGCGGAAACGAGAGTCACCTCTCCGTTTGTTTGCAGGGATGAGGAAACGTTCCTGTTGGGAGAACACAGATTTTATTTTGGTGTCGTTAGAGTCCAATCAAATTAACTACAGAACTCACTTGAGGTATTACTGAAAGAGGAGCATCCACTGGGAATGTTGCCACTGGTGGCTGGTCGATTAAACGGCTGTGGCTGTCGCGAACTACACAGAGGAACATTATTACAGAGTTGCCTCATTCATCCGTGTTTACAGGGAGCAACTGTCTTAATTAAGCATTGTGCAGGCTGATGGATTGGCCAGCCTCACTGTCTCTAGCAGACATATTGATTTCACATTCCATACCCAAATAGCCAAGTCGTTTTCCTCCCCTTTAGGCGTTAAGGTGCCACCACAGTGTGGGATATTAGGAGCATTTAAAAGAAGCTGTAATTATAAAACATGCAGCCCTATTACGTGTCAGATGGAGAGGTTTGTAATGTGACTGCGACAAAACAAATTGAACCAGACGACCTACTTTGTTAGCTTTGTACACATGTGTTTCAGTTAGGCTTACAGCAAAATTATAATTAGTCTGGGAGTAGTGCACAGCGTCTTCAGTGATGATTCAAACAGCCGCTGCCGTGTGCTCTCAACATCTGCTTCTCTCAGTGATCCCTGTAACAGGGCCTGGGGAGAGAGAGCACTACTAATTACTAATAAAACTAGCTAAGCCTATTGCTGTGAATTACTGCAGCTTTATCTGAAGTGGACCAGAAATCACTCCCGAAGCAAAAACAGGGTTGGAGCGATGCAAGGAGGGATCGCAGCCCATCGCAGTGTCTGGATTAGCACAATGCTTGGTGTATGTTGTGAAGCTGCTACAAAGGAGGGTTTTAGTGTCGGACATTAGTGAGAGATTCAAATTTCTGGCTAACTTCAATCATCTTGACTCAAAGGCTCAGGATATAAAACACATTTATATAGACATAGGTCTTTTTTTGAGAAAATTCAACATGAGTGAATTCCAGTCCCCTCAAACAAATAGGCAAATTATAAAATAAATTAAAATGAATGGTTACTACTGTTATTTGAATATAATTGGACTCCCTACAGTTTTTGCTGTTTTTGCTATATGTAAAAGGTTTAATACCTGAAATTCAAAATACGTGAACAACATAAAGTGTTGCATTTTAGGGGGAAATGTGATAAAAAAGCATGTTTTTAGAAAGGAAAATGTTCCATGTCTCAAATTTATTCTCACAATTGAAACATATTCAAAGGAGCTGAAAACATGTCTCCTCATCTCAGAAGCACACCACAAGACGCAACAAGAAATGTCCAAAAAAATCATCTCAGGACCTACATCAGCACCTTGGAACTGTTTGTATGAAAGTACATGCAAATCAAAAGAGATTTTATACCTTCAACTGTTAGGCAAGGAGAAAATATTTGCTCAAAAAAGACAAACATTAAGGCCAGACTAAAGTTTGCCAGAAACACCAAGACTTCTAGAATAATGTTCTTTTTACAAATGAGTTGAAATCTGACTTATATTGTTACCAGAAAAGACCCTCCGGGTACCCGAGTGTCAGGGGGAAAAAATTAATCTGAACTCTTCAACATGAGAATGACCAAAATTATATTATTAAATCCACAACAGATTGGCTTCAATATATTTAGAAATATATATATTTTAAAAAAGCCCTTAAATAGCTTAGACCTTGATCTCATTGAAATGTTGAATATTTGGCAGCTGAAAGTGACAATTCTGGTTACCTTCATCAAACCAATGTCAGAGACTGATACTATAGTGACATATCACTGCAGTTTAACCTACAGTTAAATAATCAGTTTTAAATAACCTACTTATAATAATCAGTTTGGGTTAAAGATATAAGCTGAAATTTTTTGAGAAAATTTCAGCTTATATTTTCTCAAAAATATAAGTCAGGGGTCGCCATGCAGTACTAAGATCTGTATTTAATATAGAATCCAAGGAAAACCTTTTTTTAGCACTTGAAAATTGTAACATTTAATGAGAAAACTGAGTCTGGATTATATGGGCAGATTGTTGATTATTCCTTCATCTAAATCTGTAACAAACTGTTGTAAAGTTATGCTTAGAAGTGTTTTTTATCTCACTTAAAATTGTTTTTTCTTTCTACCTCTCCTTTGTGTTCTGTAAAGGTCGCATGCAGGAAAGTGCATGGAGGCGCCACAGAACTCATCGAGTGGAGGGACAGTGATAGCGAACAGAAGATTTCTCCCACGGGGGTGAGATCACGGATTCTCAACCCCCTGCGTTTGTTTGCCAAGGGCTCCCCTGAGCTCAAGAGCAACATGAGGGAAATGACACATTTACAGAACATGGAGGACTTTTGGGACTGGTTATCTAACCAGACAGATGTTCAGGGTGCACAGGCCAGAACTAAACGCAGACCCATCGTGAAGACTGGCAAATTCAAAAAGATGTTTGGGTGGGGGGACTTCCACTCAAACATCAAGACAGTCAAGCTCAACCTACTGATCACAGGAAAGATCGTGGACCACGGGAATGGCACATTTAGCGTTTACTTCCGCCACAACTCCACCGGAATGGGGAATGTCTCCGTGAGCCTGGTGCCACCTTCCAAAGTCGTGGAGTTCGAGATCGCCCAGCAGTCAACACTGGAGACCAAAGACACCAAGTCCTTCAACTGTCGCATTGAATACGAGAAGACGGACCGCAACAAGAAGACCGCCCTGTGTGGCTTTGATCCGTCCAAGGTGTGCTATCAGGAGCACACGCAGAGCCACGTGTCATGGCTGTGCTCAAAACCGTTCAAAGTCATATGCATCTACATTGCCTTTTATAGTGTGGACTATAAACTGGTGCAGAAGGTATGCCCTGACTACAACTACCACAGCGACACACCTTACTCCTCCACAGGATGACCTAGCTCTTGGCGTGCAGCAGCCTTTGGTTACATCTCCAACCGATGTAAATGTCAAACTCTAAGGTTTCAGTCCACAAAACACCCGAGTCTGCTGAAAGAAAGTCAACTCGATGAGGACAAACACACTTCAAATATTTGAAAAAAACCTCTGTAAATATAGCAGTTGTATCCAGTAAAAAAAAAAAAAAAAAAATAACAGACAGTTTGGTCCTTTGAGACTTGGTTTTAAGGGTTTGACAAAGTAAAAGGCAGTGCTAGCTCCCAACCCTGCATAAATCCTCCCCACAACAGCACATGTTCGCTGATGTAATTAGTGTGTTGTCCAGATGTTTTCTTCAAGGCTAGACCATGGGCAAAATGTTGCACCAATTAAAAGTGCAAACCTGGAATCTGGCAGTGCTGGAGCCAAAAACTGTCACCTAATTGAGATAGTCATTTAACATACGAGACAAGATTTTGATGCATCTTAAAATTCTCTTTAAAAAAAACTCTGGCATTTAAAAAGGCATACATTAATGAAATGTTCATGTCAGGATATGGTATTACAAAAACAGAGAATGGATTCAAAGTTTGACTTTGAACTAGAGCGGATATCTATTTGTGCATTTGGAAAAGTCAAAAAGGATAGTGTTTTACTTCAAAATTATCCAATAAGTGTCTCAAAGATTTGAATAATTATTAATATTTAGGAACATCTTTTGTTAAATTTCTTACATATGTATTAATATGATCAAAATGACTAATTAAGCCTATTCCAGTGTACACATGACAAAATACACAGATCAATTTACAGATTTCTGGAGGTTTATAGTGCATATAATGCCCTGCAAACATTCTCATACTGCTTGAAGTTTTCCACATTCAGCTGCCTTGGATCAATTCCTTGTAGAACCTTCTTTCATTGCAGTAGCAGCTGCAGGACTTTTGGAGTGTCTACTAGCTTTGCAAATCAAGAATTATTTCTTTCTGTGCTTAGAGCATTTCTGGACCTTGCCTGAGAATTTCTAACACATGAATATGCTGTGATTTTACTCCAGATCTGATTATATGTTTACGGCACTTGTCCTACTGAACCTCCACCCGAGCCTCGTGTTTTTTTCAGCATTGCCCAATATTTCTCTCCATCCATCTTTCCATCAAGTCTGAGCAGCCTCTCCACAGCATGATGCTGCCACCACCTTGTTTAATAGTAATTTAGGTTTATGTCAAGATGACATTGTGCATGTAGACCACAGTATATTTTTTGTTGTAAATCCTAAAGAGCTTATGTCAAACTGTGCATAAAACCCCTTAAGGTTTTAGTTAAAAAATGTCTTTCTTCTAATTGCTCATCTATAAAGGCCAAATTTGTGACGTACACAGCTAATAATAATAATAACAAATCCTTTTCCTCCATGTGGTTTAAAAAACCACATGGGTCATTCACTTCTGGGTCATTCACTTCTGAGGGCAATTTAGAGCAAACAAATAACCTTATATGCATAGTTTTAGACTGCAGGAGGAACCCAGAGTATCCATGCAAAACCCACACACAGCTGCACCAGTGTTCAGCCTAACTAATACTAATTTTAATAGTGCTTTTAACATATTCTTGCTCCTGAGCTGTGGATCTCTGAAATCAGTTGCTATGTTACCACTGGTCTATCCTACTGTTTATGTAACATCTGAAGCAAATCGGTTGCACTGGATTTTTGTCAGTGTTAGAGTAAAGGAAACTAAATATAGATGCAGACAGTACTTTTGAGAATTCGTTTTGAAAACAAAAACAAAGTACAGTTTCTTTCCTTCGTTAGTTATGCACTGCTTTTTTAAGATGCTACTTCACTTAAAATCTCTATAAAATACACAAATATTTGTCTTTACAATGTGGGAAAATGTGGAGAACTCCAAGGGGTATAAATACTTTTGCCAGGCACTATTATGTATTTCAGTTCTCCTGTGTTGATTGCCGCAATTATCCCAAGGCATGTGTGTGCTAAACCGGTCTGAAATCCAACATCTGTGTTTGCAGGATGCACTTTGAGGCAGCAGCCTGCCGAGCGAGCCATGCAGTGGATTAATGTGTCAGGAGAGAAGGGGAGAGGGATGCAATAATTGCAGGACAGGTGGATTTAGTGAGTCTGGCAGACAATTATCAGCACTTTGTCATGGTCCTGCTACCAGCCCTGACATTACCTGTCTTTAATAGGCTTTAATTAGCCTGGGAATTTCTATTCACCAAGAGGAGAGAGACTGAAAAAGGAAAGAAAATGAGCAGAAGTTGGAAAAAAAAACACACAAAAAAAAAACCTTGTCTGCGATTTCAAGAAGTGGGAATGTATTTGGAAAAAAAAATCCTGGCTTTTTCCCAAATGTACAGGAAGCTTAATCTAGCAGACTTAAAGTGGAAAAGAAGCAGTTTAGCAGTACACGGTGTAATGTGCTTTGACATTGCAATCACCCAGACAGTTTTAAAAGGTTTTGTTGAAACGCACCATCACACGGAAAGCCGTAGATTGCATTGCTTGCACACATCCTGGGTTTTAGGTTAGGGCATGTGCCACAGATGACACTGCAATTATTTCAGCCGATGCTACTTCATGGTCCCATCATCTGTAAATGATCCTGTCACCTTGTTGGTGAGGTGTATGATAAATCAGTCAATCTACAGTGAAATGATATTTTTAGTTTTACTCCTCGTGTCGATGCTGTGTACTACTTGTAATTACAACCAGACGTGTTTAATTATGGCTTCAAAGTAAATGATGTCAGTTTATTTACATTTTTCCTTAAGGATATTTCACAATGTGTACCCCTCCTCATTTCTGGTGTTTTATCATGATTATCATGTACATAAATGTTTAAATTATTGTCAACTGTTACATATCGTTTTATTTCCCCATTTCTGTGTTTTACAGTGTTCCTGTTTTGGTTACCTGCTTGGGTAAACTTGCTTAAAATCTACTCCTGTAAAATAGGGAAAAAAATATCCGTGATTGCACATGTTCATTTTCACAGGAAATTCATTTTGTTAACATTTAATGGTTGAAGATCACTTTAAATCTTTATGGCATTAAACCTTATAAGAAATTGGCTCCCCAGCATCTTGTCACGCTGAGTCTCCACGGTCTATTGGCGCTCAGAGTTGTCTCGTTTCATTCCTGAAAGGCCTTCTCAACAGGATAAACACACCATTTTTAAGAGGTACATTTCGGTGTAGCTTTTTAATGGGCAATAAATCTGTGTCCACAGGCGTGGATGATACCAGAGGTACACCTCAGGGAGCACATCCATTTTGCTGTGGCCATCAGGGACAGGGGTCTTTTCATTCGCTTCCATTACTCTTATCTGATCAGGATGAGGCACCTACTCCTTCAGCATCAAGTCACACCAGGCTCCCCCGCTGCACTCATCCAAATCCCTTAAAACCATGCTGATATGTATTTCTATTTTCATGCTTCACCTCTCTTAGTATTGGCGTTTAGACTGCACACTTATAAGACCATAAAATTAGTTTACATAATTTATAGCTTCATTTAAATACCAGTAACACGTGGAAATGTATTGACATCAATTGCAAAGTTTGTTCTAAACCACAAAAAGTAACTGAACATTACACCATGCCATTGCCAGTTCTAAAATAGATTTTCAGTGCCTAAAGCCATAGTGAGAAAGGAAATATAGTGTGGGCCAAACAATGTATAAAAAATAATAATAAAAAGGAAGTATGACTGTTATTTAAAGTTGGGAGTTTTTTTTTGTTTGTTTGTTTGTTTTTTCCAGGAGGCTAAATGAACTGGGTTCACAGCACAAAGTAGCTCATACATTTAGCAAGGTAAATAAAGCAACTGAGGCAATGACCTCTGTGTGAAACGAAGACCTGGAATGGAACAGAAAACATTTGACGTGAGCATAAACATATGACAAAAATATAGCGGTGGAAAATGAAAAAATATTGCAGCGATTTATTGCTATTTACACTCTACATACTCACTGAACTTTTTTCACTGGGATGTGTTTCACTCAGGAAGAACAATGAAGATGCACTGCCTCCAATCTCCAAGTACCACATACCAAAAACTGCACAAATCAGGAGTAAGTGACAATATGGAGAAGTTACAAACCCAGTTCTGATTTCCTGCTTCAGGCCATTTGCTGCATTGGTTCCCCATCTTACTCCACCCTTCTTCCAGTCCAGCTACTAACAAATAAAGGCCACCAGAGCCCCAAAGCTACATTTGAGTTGTTTTGAAACTCAGATGGTTCTGGCTATCCTTAAATTAGCCATTACCTTCAGCCAGGATAACCAACAGATTCGGATTCATACATGTGCATTTCAACAAAAAATGTAAAATATGTCCAGCAAATGAAAATGAAAAAAACAAATATAGCCAACCTTTCTTTCAGTGGAAAGAATGTTAACTTGATGGTTGTCCAGTGGTCAGTATCCAACACTCCCCACAAACAGGGTAAGTCACAAAAGGTCACAGGTAAAGAAGCTGGTGGTCAGTTGCATGTGCAATGTGTGATAGAAAAAAATGCATAACCAATTGCAATAATACTAGCGTGGAAAAGATCATAAAGCCAAGAATTTCCATGGTCCAAAAACAAGAGCTTCAAATGTGAACATTTTAGAATTAAAAGTAATTTTCTATATTGCCATAATAAAATATAGAACCGTTACTTTATTTTGGGTTTTAATCAGCAGCAAACATAAAGCATTAAAATCAACATTAAATCCTTACCTTGAATTAAATTACTGAACTAAATTTACTTGAGTAACATTCTAATTTAGTGAAATACATGAAAAATGATCAACAGCAGGTAGGTTCAGCACTTTAGAAATACTGAAAGATCCCTTTAGGTTTCTCTTGCCGTGGCATCATCCAGTGCATATTTGCTACCATCTAAATGACAGCAGAATTTTTCAATTTTGACAGCACAACTGCAGGCTTCTCTTTCAAGCACTGCAGTTAGTGAAGAAAAGCGAAGGAGAAAGATAAAAGGTTGGAGAGGCATCCCGAAGCTGAGATGGTATCAGGCCTTTTCGAAGGATCTGTGCTGAGAGGGGCGGACGTGGATCAGCAAGCCGCTGATGAAGACGTCTCTTCTAGCAGGAAAGAGCGGCCGCACATCCACTTTAATTAGAGCTGGGGCCTCGCATTCACATAAAACAAGAGGGAAAAAGTCTTTTATGTGTTTTTTTTTTTTTAAAGGTGGTGTGCGGGTGGGGAGGTTGTTAACATTTACAATGGGGCTTTAACAGTGCAGTCTCTGAGCATTTCCTTTTGATTAGGCCGGTTAAGCGGTTTTGTAATTATAATTGAAAAAGACATGCAGCAAAAAAAAAAAAAAATAGAAAAAGCAATCACCACAATATAACATCCACATCCATTAACAAAACTGGAAAAAGAAACCGTGGATGATCATCACTCTTCCATAAGCTGAGATCTGTGCTAAAACAGAGACTAACATTGAATTAAGTCCAGAAAAAAAAACAGTAATGAAGCCGAGTCACTTCAGACTGCTGGAAAATGTTTTAATGGGTTAATGCAGGCATTCTTGCAGACAACAACTTCATAATTTTTTCCAAAGTTTTCAACGTGACGCTGATTGACGAGTAATATCATCGAAGAATGATGCTACTCTCACTTTACAAAATCCTCCGAAGTGTCTGTCACACCACACTACATACAAGACGGACTGAATAACCATGACAATACCCCCCCTATTGAAACACAGAATAACATCGCCAGTAGAAGTGATGCTCAGCATCCTACAGATATCCAAGCATGTTAGAGGAACCTTTTACTCAATTCATGTACTTCTGCACAGATGTCGAATAATTGCAGAAAATAAGCTGTTAAAAGCAAAACTGGAACTTTTGACACTTTCTTTTGACAATAAAACAACCATGCATTAGTCTCTCCACTTTTAGTTCACCACAATATACTGAGCATATATATTTGAAAGTTGGCAATACTAAAAAGGAACAAATTTTCATTTTTTTTTTTTTTCATTTAGTAAGAGTTCACAGATGTATGATCTGGAATATGTAATTTGAATGGGAGACGGAGAACATATTTCCATAAACTTCCAATGTTTTCGTATATTTGGGCCAAACAGACACTTTTCCATCTTACATGGATTGACACTTGCCTTCAAATAGCAGATTACTACCCCCCTCCCCCTGACAAATACACAATAGAACACACTTTCTTGTACATTGGTCTTCTAAAGATGGTTCAATTGTCATTTACATAGAAATGGTGCCATCAATATGGGGCATACGCATATTTTCAAAAAGTGTAAAGAACTGACCTTGCACTGAGTGTTCATGCTTTTTAATGTCTAGTCACAAAACGGGCTAAACATTACAAATATATAATATTTCCCATTTAGTTAAACCTTTGTTACGTTCCTATAGAACTCCATATCAAAATGACTATACATGGGAACTAGTGCAACCTGGAGGAGGCCTGGTCTCTGTGACAAGGCAGGCACGGAGTAAAATAGACGAAGTGCTCTTGAGCAGCTCCAGAGCAATGGCAGATATATTAAGGCCATTTTGAAAATTACAGGAAAAAAAATGTAGAAGAGAACTTGGCTTGCTGTCCGCACTAAACAGAGTTCAGCCGGGGCAGCAAAGCAAGCAACATCGATTGAATCAATTGTTTTCCAATCCACAGATGTCAAACTTCCATGTGCCAGCCTCCCCCCCACGTCTCTGGTCAGAAAGCTCCACTTCTCTTTATTCAAGTGTGTTCAGTTTTGGTGGAAATAAAAGAGTGGCACACTCACTAGTCCTTGTCTTTGTAAAAACCCCATGCTTCACATCCTTCTTTATAGTCCAGGAGCAAAGTCGGGCAGTCAGGACTGTTTTAGGCGCTTCCTCGGAAGACCAAAGGGTGGGCACTGTGCGGAAGCCAGGGCACGGAAGGCTTCAGCTACCAAGTGAGGATGGGACTGGATCATTGACTTCCAGCCTGCGGTTTCCATTATGTCTGTGGCGTGACTGTAAGCACAGGCAAAGTGAAGTTAACACCAAGACGCCATGATCAGCACATTAAAAAGCAATAAACATAAATGAGATTGTAATGCAGGAGAGCTCTGACTCAGCAGCTGCATCTTCATCCAGAAAAGGACCAGAAGTATTTTTTTTTTCACAAAGATAAAAAGATAATTAATTCTAAGAGATGCACCAAAACAAAAACAAAATATCGACTGTTTCAGCCTTGAGGCAGATAATGTGAATTCTGAACTTAACCTGCTTTTAGAAAGAAAGAAATTTAGAAATATTGCCTGCCTTTTCAAATTTCAGGTAAGTGCTCTAAATTCTCTAATGAATCCATCATTAATGTTAGTTCCGCTAATTGATAACATTGTTTAAAAGTGCCAAATAAACCTTAAATGTCATCTTTGTTTTAAAAAAGTAAAATCCTCTTCATAAAGACTGATTTGTCGATCGGTGGGATGTCACCTCAGCAACTTGCAGCTTTATAAAAACCAGCAAAAGAAAAAGAGCCATAAAATTCTGCTCGATCCAGGATCCACCACTGCATGCATAAAACAACCAAAATAAAGTTTCTCATTTCAAGGTGTCCTGAAGCACTGCACTACATCATCGAAAAGAAAAACTTGCTTCCTTTCTTTAAAAAATAAAACAAATATTCCTTTTTGTGGGGTTTATCCAAGTATGAGTCTATTAATAACTTGGATCCAAAGATAAGCGGCTTCAAACTGAAAAGGCAAACAGCACTCTGTCTGCCTAAGCTAAAACAATGAATTCTAATGCATCTGGTAGGGGAAAGAGATAAGAGCGTGTTATTAATCTTGTGTCACATATATCAGCTAATTACATACTTGCTATTCCAGTTCTTTCCATCTTTACAGCCCAGCTGTCTCAGGACACTGCACCTATGGCAAGGAGATAAAAAGGTAAGCATTCAGGGCTGGTAAACAGAAATGGCAGCAGGAATTTATCACTTTGCCTTTTTTTTTTTTTTTGCAATACTTGCCTGTTGATAAAATCTATGGCTTGTGCTTTGAGTTGCTCGGCACTGTGCAAGTCAGCCAAGATGAGGGTGTCGGCCACATTCTCCACTGAAAGGCTGTTGCACAAGGCCTCCTCACACATGACCTTTAAACGCTCCAGAGCATACTGGAATGGGGGCAAGAGAGGGAACACAGCCGTGATTAAAAGGTTAGGAAGTACATTCATTTGGTTTAGAGATTTTATTATTTTAGACTCTGTTTTCAGTTAAAATGTGTGCAGTAAACCCACGATCATTACAAAAAGCTTGATTATACTCCTAATATTATTAAAAAACTGAATCTTTTATTAATGAAGTGTCTGGTTCTGCCTTTCCATCAGCCACAGTTATAAATTCAAAGAAGTCTAAAACTTTTTTTTTATTGTATCCAGGAACACACCTTTCCATCAATATACAAATGTTCCGGATGGATTGAGCTAAATCACATGTTGCCTGTACACCATGTGCTTGCAACCACTAGTTGTATTTGGCCCATCGGCTCCACATGTTGTTACACGTGTAACGTCTCACAAATGTGCTGCATTTCCCCTGCGTTTCCTGTCTCTGTTACAATGAAACTGACAAGAGATGAAGGAAGAGGCGCCGACCTCAAGAGTTCTCAAAGAGCTGTGTCCACAAAAACGCAGCATCATCAAAACTAATCAGGCAGCAACAAATCATGTCAATAACATTTAATATGACACAAGAGGTGCCTGTGCTACAAAAACATGTCAATAACATTTAATAATGCAATGCTTTGAGCAGAGGGTTAAGATAGAAAGAATGTCTCATGGTTAAAATAATCAAGAGTGTGCAATTTTTATAGGGGAATAGAAGATATTATGTATTTTACCTTATTTCCAACAGGGAACATGCAAAATTTCAGAATAAAATCATCTATTAGAACTAATTTAACTTGGTAAGACATTTTTAAACAAAAACAACTTCAAGCTCTCAAAGGTGATAGTCATTTTTCTTCCTATCCAACACATTAAACCTCAGATACTCTGCAGCTTGAGTTCTTACGTATTTAAAATGCCCAGATTAAAGTCCATGAAATTGATGTAAATGCATCTTTAGCATTGCTGTATTAGTTTCTGAGAGACTAATGGTTCTTCCAACTAGACGTGACTTTCAGATGCTGCTCCAGGGAGTTCCTCTGAGTATACAGTACAGCAAAAAGTTTCAGAAGTTGACAATCAGACACATTTTTGATTTTACAAATATCACGTTAAATTGAATCTAAGAATTTGCTACAACACAAATATCACAATTTAATATACTAAAAGGATGACTTTCCTGTCAACTTGCTTATTTCATGGCCTACCACACGTTCTGACAACTCCTGGTGGATGGAATTATAAAAATTCCTAACTGTAGTGAAATAATTTCTAATTAAAAGTTTTAGAAAAATGTGATCTTTAATTTGAAGTTTTTATAACTGAACCATTTCTAAAATTTAAACTAACTTTTAATAAATTCGTCCGTGGGGTTAGGTGTTTTCCTGGCGTGGGCTATGAATAACTTGCAAAACACACTTCCCAAGGGCACTTTTTCAAAAATCCCCTTTTCTGAATGCTCATGAACACAACCATGTAAAAATTTAACAGGACAACACTATGCATCATCTTACTGGTGAATCTGAGAAGTTGATATTTTCCACATGAAATAATTTTTTATTGTTATATTATCCTGCTATAAAAAAATATGTAAACATTTATTTTTAGGATCTTCAGCAGGGATGCGAAAATGTGCGATATGCATTCCAGGGTCAAATCCATATTTAGTAGGTGTTGACCCATTGAATTAGAGTGATAATCTCAGCAGTTGTCAGTAAATCCAATGGGATATTCTACCCTGTTTTACATTTCTAGTGGAGCATATGAGAGTTCATAATTGTGCTCAGGGCTATAAAATGCAAAATGGACTGTTCAATTAGTAAAGATTTAATTTAAACTAGCTATTTTGTCTTAAGTAGAATCCTGACAAAGAAGTCTTTAGAATAAGAGGTGAAATGTTTTCAAGCAACCAGTCATCCTGTTTCCTTCTGTTTAAACACTTAGATTTTCAGTCACCCACTTCCTGGGTAACTGAGAAGCTGCACAAGCATTCTTTGTGAAAATAAAAATACATCATTCATATATAATTACCGTATGTTTTCAGATTATTAATTGATAATCATCTAGAAATTGTGAGGATTGGCCATATTAGGGATTCCAATTAAGAAAAAGTTAAAGGAAGATAATGATCAGATACAAATAGAGCTGACAAAGCTAACTTTCCACAGGTACTTACTTTATCAGCAGCTGCCAGCAAATTGTCTGCCATTTTTTCCAAGTTTGGCGCCTTCCCTGTATAAATGAAGCCCATCATTTCCCTAAAGACATCTGGATCCACATCACTGATGTCGACTCGATTCTGCAGATCATACAAAATGTTAATTTACTACACATAAAATTATGACATCATGGATTACAGTGCTTTGCAAAACTTTTTACACCCTTCATTTTTTTTTTTTCACAATCTGAACAACAAAGTTGATACATGTTTGTTAGTAGTGGAATTTTTTTTTAAATATCTAAAAAAAAAAAAAACAGTTAAAAATCACATAGGGAAGACAGAAAATGCATAAAATAAGGTGTTCGAATCAGATAAGACCAAACCTGGATGTTTTGGGCTCACATGAAGAGCATTATTAGTGGCAGAAACCTAAACAACATGAGCACAAAATTCTGACAGAAAAACAAATGGCCCACTCAAAGTTAAGAGCTAAATACACTGCACAAAAAAACAAAGGGAACTAGGCAAAACACAAGAAATTCTAAAAAGTGTGAAAAGAGGCTCTGTAGAGCAAATTCTTATCCCATTTGGTAGGAAACATCTTCTTGATTGCTATCATGGCTACAGCATGTTAGCAATCAGGAAACAATTTGTGAATTGAGGACATGGGACAGAAGTAAGTTGGTGCTCTTACCTTTTTACTTTCTTCCATTTCGTGTTCGAACATTGCATTAAAGACTGGAGACCTCGCTGTTAAAGTAAATACAGAAATGGATGAATAAACTTGCATGCAAAAAGGATTAGTCAATGCTTCAGTGCACTTAGAGGTTTCTCTTTTTACTCCAACAATATTGCATGCCTATTTCGCACATCTTTAAACATTTTCACTCATCTTTTCTCCTTTGAACAGACTCGGTAGGTAATACCTCAAGCCAGTTTCCTCCTGTACTAAAACTCAAATGCTGTTGCTCACTTGTTAGTCACTCTGGATTAAAGCCCGTGTCCAATGCGCAGAGAAAATCAACATTTAACGTTCAGAGCTCCAAAAAAAACAAAACTGCAGCACAATTCCCATAATAGTCACGTTGTAAGCATTTTTTTCCTTGAACACTTCACCAGCCACCATGTCTAATCGAGATAAGCGCATAGAGCCAGCCTCTCAATCTCCTGGATCCTCCAGTCATCTGGGTCAAGCAGAGCCAAGCAGGAGTGAAGTTGTGGATTAGCAACCACTGCAGAACTGGGCCACAACACATCAAGTCCAGCACACTGAGCCTCCTTAGCCTCTCAGGTGCTTATGGCTCTCTATGAGAGGTCATTCACAAGAAGCATTGATGTATCTTTTTTTTTAAGTGCCTCTTGTGAGCTGCGCTCCTGAATGTTGCGTGCCAGTTCTGATGGGGGATGAAAATGTCTTACCTGCAAGGATGGATTTGTGGGCTTTGAACTCTTGGCCTCCCACATAGAGGCTGCAGTCTGTGAAGCGTGAACACTCCCACAGGTTCCCAAGGTCATCAGACAGCTGACATTCTGGTACTTTCAGCATGTTCATGTTAGACTGACCCGAAATGTTGACAGAGTCCTGGACGACACTTACCTGTACATACATAACAGGAAAAAAAAAAAGACTAAATTCAACAATAGATTAAGAAACAAGAGCATCTTAGAACAAAAAATTAGTCAACTTCTTACAACTCTATACAAAAGTACTGATGTCTCTTTTACTTAATCACATTTTGTTCATTTACAAATAAGCTCCAGAGTATTTATTTATATTTTATGTAATAATTCACACCAAGTTATGCATAATTGTCATAATTATGCATAAGAAGACAGGGTTTTCGAAACTTCTTACCAATAAAAATCTACACTATGACGAGCTTTTTAATTTAACCTCGCTGATACAGTTTATTGTAGAACAATATGAAAAAGCTTTAATCTAAATCTCAAGTATTAAACTGCAATTCTCAAGGGACAGTGCCCTGCACTTCTGAGCTGTACCTTTGCTTAAAACACATCAGATTTAAATAATCAATTGTTGATAGGACTCTTAAGTTTAGCCATTTGATTTAGGTGTGTTGGACTAGATGCGTTTAAGTTATTCTTTCTTGTTTCTGTGGAGGAAGCAGATCCCCACACAGCGTTGTGAAGTCACCATGATGTGTAATCGTGGCAACATTTTGAATATAAGCTAGAAAGTTTGATTTTGGTCTCATCTGATCAAAGGATGTTCTCCCACTGTGTATATTTAGGAGTAAAGCTGCAGCTATGCTGCCTTTACTCTTGCAGTGGTCCAGACATCACTTTATTACATCACTAACAATTTTAAGAAATTAAATAGAAACAAAACCAAAAAAAAAAGAAACGTTGAAGACAATATGGCAGAATATGTGTGATTTTAGGTTAAACACATAATTAACTGTAAAGTAATATAGTACATGTATATATTTGGCACAATATGAAAAACAGGATTTTATCTCAGAGTAAAAGAGGTTGAGTAATAAAAAGCATGCCGCACCTTTTAGATTTTATTCCACACACTTTGTAGTGATCTATCAATTGAAAAGATATTGCAGTTTGTGGTTGTAACATGACAAAAAGTGAAAAGGTTTGAGATGTAGGGATACCTTTGCAAAGCAGTGTACATATAATTTATGACAAAAGTCTTACTCTCTTTATAGAAAGTGGCATTTTTTTCACCTATCATGGCAATATTAAAGCGGCTGCACTGACACCTCATTTAGCTTGTCCCTAGAAAGAACATTTTCCAACATACTCACTCTTCTTGACATTCTGAATTTAATTATTTTGAAAACAAGCATCAATTTAAATGTAAGATGTGAGGAACATTTGACTCTGTTGAAATGTCATTTAATGCAAATTTAAACTGTGAGCCATAATTCAGCATTTCTCAGAAGTAAACCAGCCATGACATAATTCTGCTACTCTTCCCATTGAAAAGGCTAGGCACGAGATGTAAAAATCAACACATTTCTAACACTATGAAGAAATTTAACCAGGAAAAAAACAAGAGCAAATCCCCTTAATTATTTGTAAAGATAAACAAAACAGAACAAGAAAATAGTTTGGTCACATTTAGTAATTATTGACATGCGGCTTTGTTTAAATGGATTTAAAGTCACTACAGAAAACAATTTAATATACCATTTATTGAAAAGAAAACAACAAAAAACAATTAGAATCACATTTACCTCACAGAAAAGTGTGAGCTTGTCATCAGGTAAGAGACCATTAGCTTCATCAAGGAGGAAATCTCTCCTTATAAATTTTTTGAAGCCCCAGTCTTTGCCTTGGACAAACCTATACGCTCTTTGGCTCTCTAGAAATAGAAACATAATGTCAAGTTTTATAACATTCTTCAAATCTGCATCTTAATTAACAACAAAAATAAATGTGAGGTTTGTATGAAAATATTAGTAATTGCTGCTACTTACCCATTGCTTTTGTTTCCTCTCTTTTAGCATTCAACAAAGAAAACTTAAACTTTGCTCTGACTTCACTTTTTGGACAACTAACAAGAAGTAAATACAGTGATAGATAATCTTTGCTTTCATCATCAAGTCCCTTTGGATTAACTCTCAGACACCTGGCACAGATTAAAGTAATGAAGATTAGATTATGCATGAATATGAGTTGCAATAACCTTTTTACTTTAGACTAAAATTTAGAGTAAAATACTTTCATACTAACCATTTCATTTTGTCATTAGGACCAGAAGAGAAGGTTGAACTCTTCAACACCTCTCCCATTTCTTCTCTGCAAAAACTAAAGTTGTTTATGGTCCACATGTAGGAAAACTTCACTACTTTGACCTGAAAACCAATGTTAAAAAAAAATCAAGAAAATTAGATTATTTTTTATTATTTAAAGCACAAATATAACTTGATTTTATCAAATATTATGGGTTGGAAGTTAATCAATTCAAACAATTGCTTCATTTTACTGACAGATCCAGTTTCAATAGAAAAATGTATTGTCCAATCAATCCAAACAGATTCAAAGTCAATAACTTCAAAAATTCATTATGGCATGTTGGTTTGTCCTCTATCTTCTACAATATAATGAAATTAATTTCCTACGATTTCTGATAAAGTTTAAGGACAATTTAAGATAAATATCCAATTTTAAACCTAAATATATGAGTTTCAAAATAGGACTACATTATTTCTCATCATTCTCATCAACATGATGTCCAAAAGAGATAATTAAATAAATGAATTTATTCTTGCACCTGTGTGTAACACCAGCTCTCTGCCACAGGTCCACTTGACATCTCCCCAGGAGGAGGAGGGGTGGGAACCCGTGACATCACTGGCTCGGATGTACCACTCACTGACGTCCTTAAAGCTCTGACAGTTTCAAGTAAAAAGAAAACACAAATGTTATTTCTGGAAAACTTACCATCAGCTATGGTTTCAACATTTTCAAATATTAGTGGAAAATGCCTGGCAAAATACTCACTAACTTGAATTAAAAGTATTTAACAAGTCACATTTGATTGGAAAGTTATTGTGGTAATAAATGGCTTAAAACATAAACAAAACCTAAATAAGATGCATCTTCTGTAAAAATGCCACATATATTTTGATTGTTGAAAGCCAAAATACAAATTTCTAAATTATAGTAAATCACACACATAGTAATTCTGCTTTTGTCACTTATAGACACAAAGTTAAAGTCGACTAAGTGTAGTTTAGTTATTGTCAGTCTATCTCAACTTCTTTGTTGGAAACATTGTTTATGGCAACTTCTGATTTTCTGGTTAAATTTGGCAACAAAACCATTTAAAATGATTTTAAAATGTAAATCACACAGAATAGCCAAATATTTCTGAGGCATTACAATAATCTTCCTAAAAGTGTAACAAAATGAATCAAATCACAATCACAGCTAACTTACACTATGATTGGCTTTCTTCCCAAAAATAAACAAGCAGTGTGCAAGACAATTTTGTCCTTTATCATCATAACAATAAAAAAAAACATTGGTAAAAACAATATCACTTCTCTTTAGAATTTTACAGACAAATTTGACTACATACCATGACTGTCAAAGTCCCACAAACAAGCACTGCTCAGAAACAATGCTATTTTTGAAATAAGCTTCCTAGGACACTGGTGGCATAAAAAAGTGTATTTCTCATCAAACTGCACAAACCTGCATTTTTCTTTGCTTCACTGAACAAACAGTAGGAAAATTAGTAAAATTTCATTTCGTTTCTTGATAACGATATGGTGAATGCCCAACTCCTTATTAGGTTTTTAAACTGAGCAAAAATCATTTTCGGAGTAAATATTTGAAAGGTCACGGCTAAACAAGAATAATAAAACTGACCGTACAGAGAGCATCAATGACGTGATGATTTTAGTGTGTTCATTAAAACACTAGAAGCTAGCAACAAATACTATTTGCAGAAAATTAGTTTCTGTAAAGTCCATTTGAACTTTAAAAGCAGTGTTACTCAAAATACTTGTACATGTTATTTAGGTGGGAATATTTACAGGAACTTGCTAACATTTTGCACACAGAGAAAGAATGACATATACACGACAATAATCAAAATTGAATTAAAATACATTTGAGGAAAATCTTTGGACATTCCACACAAGATCAACAACTGAGGTGAAACGTTTGATATTGCAAGATGACGCTGGTTCTTCAACAGACCAGAAACATTTGAACAGACATTTTACTGACTTCAGAGATTTTGCAGGCCAGGACACGTTTTGATGAAAGTATTGTGCAAAGACAAAGGCAAAATCTGGCAGTCACACCAGTGCAAATTCACTGCTGCTAAATTGTTCAATGCATACTAACATTTCATAATTTGACAGGCCAGAGAAAATTACCAAAAACTTATGGGTTCATTTTATACCTTCTAGTCTGATCAAGAATGCTTAGAAAACACTATGAAGTAAAAAAAAAAAAAAAAAAAAAAAAAAAAAAAAAAAAAAAAAACAGTCACACTAAACAAGATAACTAAAAACAACAAAAAAAGTGTTCTAACGCCGGGACATCAATAACCAGGAAGACACAAGAAATTAGTTATGTGTGTGAATTGCTGCTGTTCTAGTTAAGATTTGACGGTTCCTTCCACAGAAAAACTGAAAATGAAATTCCACTTAGTTCAACTTAAATATGCCACACCGAACTCTTCAAATTACCTCCAAAATCACATGAATTTTAAGCCCCATTTCACTAATATGAGCTTCTTAAACATCTGACTGTAAATGTTTTACTAATCACTGCCATTTATGTTTATGATACTTGCTGTGATAACTTATTCACGATACAGTCTAATGTTTGTTTAGGTCTGCACCTATACATAGCAAAAAGTACAGCGGAAATAACCTTCCCTCATCTGCTACTGTGTGTTGCTAATCTGCTAACTTAAAGAATGCTCCGTCACATTTCCTATGCTTACAAGAAGCTACCAGAGCAGAAAGCTTAGCTAATTATTCACTTAAAAACTTAAAACACATTTTATACTCACTAAGTACTTTGGTGCTATTGAGAAATTTAGCAGGTCGTCATTCTGTTTCTTTGCTTCAGTGTACGTATCAAAATCAGTTTATATAAATGATCCTCTATATATGTTAAAATTAATCAATATTTTTCATTATTTTTGCAAGAGTCCAAATATTTGTCACTTTTGTGTTCTAAATTGAAACAATTTATTCATGTTGCACATTTCTGTGTAAGGGATTATGTGAAATATTGTGGCATTTTTACTCAAAGTTGTAATGTGAAAATCTCAGCATGGTACCTTTATGCCTAGTGTTTAACTTGAGCAGCTCTTTTAGTGATTATAGATTTCATGTTTAAGTTTACATTTGCTGATTAAATAAATGTACATATATGCAATTTTTTAAAATGCAAGAAAATATGCAATACCAAGTGAAGTAGAACACTTTGATTATGTAAAAAACACTAACATGTTTTGTATGTTCATTTGAAATATCATTTGCCGAACAGTAATGAGATCACATACTGAGAATACATGTATTAGCATGCATAGGCTTGCTACTCAAAATTTGTTTTGAGTATGTTGCTGTCCCTGTCCCCTTCTCCCCCTTAGCTTGCCTACAAAATCTGAGTCATGCAACATGAGTAATGAATGAAAAACGTTTGCATCACCTTTTGAATTCTTGAAAGACGTAAAATATGGAGTTTTTTCCTCTATGTATTTGTAGAGTCCTTCATTGTCCCATCTTCCTGTAGTGAAAAGAAAAAAACAAATAAAGATTAGGTATAGCAAATGATTAAAAATAATGCTGTATAAAAAACTGCATTGTCAACAAATCATAGCAATATATATGAAAAAAGCCACCAAGATCAAAACGAACTAAAAACTTACACCATAAAAATGTATTGCCCCCATTAAGTTCAACGTTAAGTTCAGAATTACTGCAACGATATTAAATCTGTCCTACACTACGAGAGAACTGAAATAAACTGCAATATTCATCTTATGGTAAACATAGTTTTCAAGAAGAAAAACGCTCTTGTGAAATCAATTTGATGAACTCAAGAATTCACCAGAAACTACTGTTTGGCTAACACGTTAGCTAGAGTTTTGCAATAACGCCAAAAATGCAACAGAGGATGCAAAGCGTACAAACATTTTTCTAGCATCTTTGCATTATCTTCAACTCCTGTTGCCAAAGTTGCGGGACAAAGCTCACAATTCTCGATATTCAGGATGTAAAAACGAGTGTGACAAAAGATGAAACGAGAACTGTTAGCGAACACGGGTTTCAGTTAGAACAGTCATTTCCGATCGTCATCTACATGGCTTCACTGTTCAGTTATTACACATTTAACCCTGCTTAAGAGTTGTTCAAAAACGATAATCATAACTAGACGGAGAGAAAAACACGATATAATAAACGGTACATATTTGGCTAAGCCAAGCTAATGTTTCCACTAGCAAGATTAACTTCACTTTAGCCTTCACAGTGCAAATGTAGCGAATTTATCTGCTCACGAACCATCTGTAAGCTTCACTTTGCTATGTTACTCCTGGCTTGTAACACAATCAAATCAGGGATGGGTCAAGTTAAATCAGGAAGATGATGTTTGGACTCCGCAGTACCCGGTGAAAACAAAGGCCCTACACGGATCCCAATGACAGGATGCTAACCAGAAGCTAATGTAAATCCTCACGCTGTTACTGGAAGTAAAAACAACATCGGCTAACTAGCAGCTAGCGAAAGGCTAATCCTTCTCCCTCCTGTCTGCTTACAAAAAGTTTAAAAAACACGTCGTAATGACGTACCTTTTAATTTTATACTCCCATATATATCGAATGAAACATATAGCTTTGTGTTTTAATCGCTCCTTCCACCGTGCGGCACTTTGGACTCTTTTTCATTCAGTCTCTTCACAAGGTTTTCTTTGTCCAATTTATCTGTGCTAGCTTACAGTTGTCTAGCGGGCTTGTAGCTTCACGGGCTAGAAAATATAGGACACTGCACATGCGCGAAGTTTAGGTAACAGACTGGATTCCTCTAATGTGGATACGTAAAAACGGCTCTTTTACTATTCTAATCCGGACATTTAGTTCAATAATATATAGTACCTTTTAGCTTTTAAAATGAAAAAAAATCTTGATATTTGTTCATAAGATATACGTACACACATATGAATAGGGTAACTGTTAAATTAAATAAAAATAAATAAATGAAATACCCATTTATTCAACACAATATGACAATTTGAACAAGACTGATCTTTAGATTTAAAAAGTGATTCCTATTTTTGGCAGGACATCTTACTAACATTTTGGTGCCCATTTAGCAGTCTGAAGTCAGAACTGCAGACAGTCAGTGCAGCCAAAGAAGGATCAAAATTTTGTGTGGCAAGTGGTCAGAATGTTGTGCCTGATTTTTGTAAAAAGTGTGTGATTTCAATACATTCAAATCCAAAGCTTAGGCCTTTTCCATCACCAACAAAAAACACAGTAGGCAATACTATTTTTATGTCTTAAAATATGACATTTTCTGAAGAAAATAAATCAAAACTACAAAAAAAGAATAATAATTTTTTTTAATTTTAAAAAGGACATGGCTATATCAGACATTTTTGTATTTAACACTTTGAGGAAGAAAGTCAACATTGAATGTGTAATTCCCAACAAATATACATAAAAGTACAGTTTTTCAAACAAAGAAATATTACAGGTTGAAAAAAGGGAATTATATGCATAAGGCAAATTCCAAAGATTCCAAACTGATTTGCAGGAAATTACTCATTTATTTACATTGAAAAGTACATTTCAACACACATCTGCAAAAAGCCATATGTGGTTTTGCTGACTAAAATCTGTGCAGCTTGCACTTATCGCTTGCTGTAAACATCCCCTCTCCCTACTGACTGAAAATAAGTTGGTGGTTTGTGCCTTGCAACTAGATGCCGTTACTATAACTGAGGAGTAGATATTCCAAAATTAAATTCTTGTCTTGTCTATTTTCATCACACAATTTCTGCATCCAAAGCATGCTGCATTTATTCCTGTTTTTGACTTAATATGTTTCCAAAAAAATGCATTGCAGACAATTGTAATATCAAGCAAGAAATTCATTATTGGTGGTATGAAAAAGCAGGGATAAATGATTTTATTTAAAAAATTAGCCAGAGCAAGAGACATTCTATAGCTCTTTTTGTTTGGAGATAGATCACACAAGATTTACTCCTAAATCTTAATTTAGATCGTTATATTACAGCTTTTTTGCAGTTTATTTATAATTTTTTGAAATGACCAAACATCAGTGGTTTTATAAGCCTATTTTATTCTTGAACTGTGAAGATCAATCTCAAATAATCCCCAGGGACAACCAGAAAACGGACATACAAAGATTTTATGGTCAGAACTCGGCATGAGCAAGCCATAAAACAAACAAAATGTCAAGTGAAGCTATTGCATCATTCCGCAGGACCATTTTAAGTAGCCATGATTTGGAAACTGGTGGAGAACCATTGTTACTTTACAAACTAAAGTGAGTTTAACATAATCTTATGCTGAACGGATTCCCAACCAAAAAAGAAGCTCTTCCTCTGAAATCAACAATGACTGAAATTTGCAGCTACTCACATAGATAAATGTTTTAAGATCACATTGGACAAAAGTGGATACAAGACATTAAGAGTTGAAGTCCCATTTGATTCTGGGTGGTTGAGGTGGGGCAAAATGAAGTGCAGGTGAACTGCAGGAAGTCCAGGATAATGGCTAACCAGAAAGGAAACCCACTCGGCTGCAGAGACTCTATGAAGATCTGAGTTAAACAGGCAGGGGTTTTTGTAGGGCTTATGTTGCAGACGGCACCCCTACTTCACATTTAAACTTTACTTTTAGTTAGAAAGCTCACGAATAAATGTTCAACCAATGAGTGTTGGACTGTTAAACATTAATGAGTAAAGAAATGTGGAAGTAAAATTTTTCATACGTGTCCCAATTCCTGTGATTCATGTCACATTCTGGTTTCTCTAGTGTGTCAAACACAATGCTGCTTCTTGTAAGCCTCTCTCTGAAACAATACCCCATAAAGGCTTCTTGTGAGCTTGTGATAACCAATTCCCTCTCAGAACGATAGACTGCAGAGAGAGCAATAAATGATGATCTCTGTTCCAGTTTTGATTCATGTGCAAAGTATGGCACACCCTTCAAGCTTTTTTTGTTGATGTATGCTTAAGCTTTTCTGCTGTCAAATATTGAGGAGTAAAATGTCACATTTTGCTGACCACATCAAATGCCTTTAATGCCACAGCAGCGATGCACTGACCTATCTTGAAGTAGAAACGTTTGTTGATAGGATCACATTTTAAGAGGATAGGGAGGATATAGGAATTCTTATCACACATTTAGATCAGTTTGATTTTAGAATTGCAAAATGATGCAAAACGGAGTGGATCCATTTATCTTCAGTTCTATTAAAACCCTTAACAGTTTACAGATAAGCATTTTGGTACTTAAAACTTGTCAATATAAAATAGGAATTTTTGATTCTTTGTTGTTTTTTTCATTAGAGTTCAATTACAATGGGGTTCTCACCATTTAATTGGTTTTAGCTTTCATTCATCATTGAATATTGGATTGGATTATTAGATAAAGCAGCATCTCTCAATAGTCCACATAGCTCAAAGTCTTGGATCACATTTGTCTTCATCACTCATTACAATTTTTAATGAATGGGATGCTAAGATGTTACGATGCTAAGATGCCCATGGAACTGAAGAAGGGCAATTTTGTATTTGGGAATCTATTCCTGCCCAGATTGTGAAGCAGACTCACAGCATCACAGATACCCCAACATACTTCACAGCAAGCATGAGTTTTTTTTTTTTTTTTTTTTTTTTTTTTAACAATATTCACCCATTGTTTCACACCAAACCCATCTGAAGTTTTTTCTTGTTAAAAATCTCAATTCTCACAATGTGCAATATCAAAAGTTATACAGGACTTGAATTTGGTAAAATGATGATAAGCAAAAAGAGGAGAATCATAAGTTGATTGCTGTAGCAGTCATGTTGCACAATTTAAAATATTTTTTGACACTGATATATACATCTATATATATATATCTATATATCTATATATATGTAGAGAGAGAGAGTTCTGTTTTTCTTTTTTTACTGAAGATATTTAAAGAATCATTCGATTTTCCTCTAATTTACAGGGTGAGATCTTACTATGAAGATACATTACAGATCAATTCAATTGGCTGCTTAATTAATTAACAAATTCTTGTCAAGGGTGTTTGATTTCTGATTCTGCTTCTATCCAAAGCAAAATCTGAATCTTACAGTTTTTGTGCACCAGACTACGATAGACAAGGTAAGCCTTAATACTTAGATATTATTTTAAATAATTGATTCTCCACAATGTAACACAGGGGTAAAGAAAGGAAGAACATGATTTTTCAATTACAAGTAAGATTTTGAAATTATTAGCTCTGAATAACTCTTTTGTGCTATTTAATGCATTCATCAGGTATAAATAGTCCTCTGCATGAATACACATTGAGCAATGAGTTTGACATTTTTTTTTACCTCATATGTACAATACTCTAATTAAGAAAATCAAAACCCAACCCTGATATTGTTCCTGACAAGCATTGAGGGCCTTAAGTGATGGAGACTGATCCAGACAGAAGTTATGAGCATGAAGAAAGGCTGCCGTGAAAACGCGAACCCCAGTGACCTCATCAGAACATGGCCATACAAATGTCGACAGGGAAAACTGATTTAGACATTAGTCACACTTTCTCCCACTGTCTTCGAAATACAGAGATAAGGCTAAACAATAGGAGTTAGAAGAAAAGCTGAAAAAGCCCCTGTCATCTAATTTGATCAAATCTAAGTAATATCCTACAGGTGAATAACCAAATATTCATTAGATTGATATGAAAAATAGCTAGTGATAAAATATGATGAGTAGCTCTTGAGAAAGTTCTTCATGAAGTAATTTAAATTTTCTCTGAAATAATCAAAAGCATGAATACATAATTTCTTTCTAAAGAGTGGGAATCTTTCACGTTATGCAAATTACAAAAGTTATGAGGGATAAATTAAATGCACTATATGCAACATTATTATGAAGTTTACCATAAACAAAAAATATTAGGTTTAATATTTGCACATTAGATGAAAGAGCACAATAAATTGGGTTTACTTACAATAAGCTTAAAAGAAAATTAGCTTAAGTCAGTCATTGAACAAATGACACATTTAAGGATTTGTAGTCAACTGCTATACCTAAAAATGTTTTTGTAATAATTTCAAACTTTAAGTATGGAAAATTATTTCTTTGCTATTTTTCTCTTGAAGTGTGCAACTTTTTATTTTGTTATGTTTTTGCATCTGTTGCTTGTTTTTGGGTCCATTTTCAAAAAAGCTCATCCCATGTAGTATGATTCTCTGTTCTAAGAATTTCTCTTAGTTACACACAGCAGACATCTCTAACCCCTGGGTAGCAGAGTAAATCTATGACACACTTCCCACCATACTTTACAGTCTGAATGACATTCTATTCTAAAAAGCAATGTTTTCTGTTCAAAACGCAGCATTCAGAAGTTCACATATTCTGTTATAGTAAAAAGGAAGTACTGCACACCTAGGAACAATAATAATAAACTTAAACACTAAATACATATTAATATAGATGACACTCTTGCATAAATACAAAAACTGCATTTGTCATT